TGTAAAAACTCTTTTATGTATAGAAAAAAAAAAGGATGCAGTAGGAGCCTCTCCTATAATGTCATTGCATAGTCAAAAAAAAGGCGGGCCCCAGGTTGTGCCTGCCACTGGTAACAACTGTCTAGATTAACTGTGGGACAAATTTTACTAGTGGCCGGAACAAAAACTAGCCCGTCACTGGTACATGAGTTACCGGTAGCATGTCCGTATATGCGTCTGACATTGGTATTTCCGATCCCACAGCTATTATGTCCAAAAAGACTTGTGGTGGCTGCATATAGCCCGCCACATGTAACAAAATAGAAGTGTCGGGCGTGGTTTTGTGCCTGCCATTGGTAACCTTTTCTCGTCACTAGTAACTGAAATACCACTAGCCGAATTTATCTGCAATTTTTTCATAATGTTAGATTCTAGTGTCTTAGGATTAGTCTTACGTGCCAATTGTTTTTATACAAATATCATTGCAAGTTTCTTGTTAGAGTTTGCCCTTTTTCACTGTTAATAAGCTATTTTTAGGACATTAATATTTTTCTCGGTATTTAATGGAGGTAGATGCACATAAAGACTTAAATATAGAAGACATACACTAAATAATTCCAAATTGTGGCATGTCAGAGGTAATTGTGCATGTTGAGTGTGGAAAAACATTGAACACTAGCCGAGGATATACTGGTCACTGTTAATGCAGCCCGCACTATTTCCAATGCTAGAAATGAATTTAATTGCTTAAATATAGCAAACGGATCCCCAAAAATGCGAAATTTTTACATGAAACATGTAATGGTGTGTATTCACTGTGGAAAAAATATTCAAGGTCAACCGAGAAAGTAGGGGTCAATTCACGTGCAAACTTGACTCGATCCCTCTTGAAACATAGTATCTTACTTGCAGATGGTCCAGTTTGTAAGAACATTACATAACAACTTTTGCAAAACGTTCTCAATTTTTTACGAGACTTTATGGGTCATATCCTGACATCTTTCCAAGTTTCAGAATTTTCGAGTATCGTTTAAAATTGTCCATATTAAAATGCCAATACCCACCATCTTGGTGCCACGATATCGACCACCTGGTTTACGAGACTCCTTACTTTTCCTTACATCAGACCCAAACATAGAGTTAGTACCACTGGTACAAAATCAATCATTATTGAAAATATTTCATGTCATGTAGTTTAAATTTAAATTATATCGATTAAATGTCTAGAAAAGTATTTAATGGCTTAAATATAACAGAGATACCAAGGAAAATACCATTTTGACATGATATATATAATGGTGTATATTGCGTCTGGAAAATAAATCAAGGCCATTCGATAACACATCGTCGATCCACGTGCAAACATAGCCCGTTCCCTCTCGAAACCTAGTTTCTTTGTTAGATATGCTCCTTTCTGTAAGCAGTTTGCGTGACAAGTTTTGCAAAACATTTCTCAGATTTTTAGCACAACCACTAGGGGTGATATCATGACACCATGCCAAGTTTCATTATATTTGCACTTTGTTTGATTTTTTTGGAATTAAAATGCCAATAATCACTATGTTGGTGCCCCAATCTTGGCCACCTGGCCAAAAGGCCACTAACTTGAGCGATCCTGCGTGGCTAAACTGATGTGTTCTGATTGGCAGAACCTTGCCTCCCATGTATCGCTATCCCGGACGTACATTTCTCTCTTCCTATGATACATTTGCCTCTTTCTGTCCCCCTCCAATCTCCCTCTCTCTCTATCTCTTTCTCCTCTCCCCCCTTCTTCACCTCCTCCCTCCACCGCCTGTCACTGGCAGCAACCCATCTACCACAAGATCCACAAGGACGGCGGCTATATGGAGGCGTGGTGAACCCTAGCCACAGGTGGTCGCCGACAGCGGTTAGGAACAGTAGGCACCCTCCCTCCATACTTTTTCGTTTGACTGGGAACAGCAGGCACCCTCCATCCATCAACGAGGACGACCACCAGGACCTCCAGCGGCGGTGTCGAGCAAATCGAGCAGCGACGACTCCTAATGGGTCAAGGAGTGGCACGTCCACCTATTGTTCTGGCAGTCTACAGGGGACGAGCACGACGCGAGTTGAACGCTGAAGAGGTCACGCTCCTCGGCCTGTGGTGGTTGTACAGTTGCCGACGTTGTCATCCATGTCCACTAGATCAACTTCTTCGTCCATGTCCAGGCCTGAGTGTAGTGTCTGGCGTCATTTTGGTTTATTTTCTTCGTATTGTGACGATTGTATATTGTACAACCTATTGTGGTCTATTTAAAAAAATTATAAGTAGCTACCATGGTGGTAGAATAAAGGGCGCGCCATTGGTGCACTGACTACCAGTGTCATGCTTAAATTTACATCTGCCACAACACTGTTCGGTTTGCATGATAACGTCCTCAAAAGACTTCAAATGGAGAAGTGTTCAAAGTGGAAATTCATCGCCTGGCCAGGGCGGACGATTTTTCTTTTTGAATCAGCTCAAGCGGAGCATGCATTCACATTATACAGCTAAAATAATCCTACCTGACCATGACCAAAATCTAACGGCTGACACAGACACCAGTGTTTGACACAAGGCACCAGTTATTCGGCCCCAAATATGCCCCCTATTGAAAAACCATTGACCACAAAAAATCTTCAGCTCGCCGAGCTGAAGTTTTTATTTTGGCCAGGAATTGCACTTTCCTAAAATTTTAGTCAGAAGTCGTATGGGGCTTCTGTCCCAAAAATGGAATCGTTGACTCATTCCCATCCTAAATCAGAGTTAGGTAATTCTGGTAAGATTTGGTTGGGAATTGCAATCTTTTTTTAGGAGAAGTCCAGCCGCCTTATATATAGATGAGAGGTGATGGCCCACTAAACAACAACACACAATCAATCAATTAATTTATCGTTTTTTACCTTTGTCTTTTTGTATTTAGCTCATTTCATCTCTTCCTCGTCCTTCCTTGTTCGTCGTGTTACAGAGCAGCGAACCATGAGGCCATATGGACAATCAGGTCGGCCTAGGGTAAGACATATGGATGAGGTTCGTCCAGCAGCATGGTGTGTTTCTGGTCACGAAAAGACCTTGATAGTGTGTTTGTGTATCATGCTCCTGGCGACGTGTCCTGCATTTCGTCTGTTTGTGCACGAAAACTAAACGTCTGTTTGTAATGTTGAAGGAAAAAGACTCAGCAAACACGACTTTGCCAGCCCGCGGTAAGCCGTCAAATGGAGCACTCCCTTTGCCTTGTGTTTATCGACCATATATACGCAAGTGCCGTTGACACGCGGCAATCATCTCGAATTCCAGTAGTTGCTCAAGATGCATCCTTTCATATTTGAAATCCAGGGACGAAATTCACACTTCTCAACTAACCGAGGAGGCGCAACTTAAGATGCAACTGTGTTTATACGAGGAATCTCTATGCAAATTGAGGTACCGACGCGACGGTACGTATACGCTAACCTCGTGGTGGAGTTGCATTTACCCTGTTGCTGCCAATTTATATATATTGTGAACCCGTGGTGGAAAGCTGGAAGCCACGGGGAAGTTTGTAAGCTGTAGTGCCATGGAGGTGCTAAGTTTGTGCTTGGTAGCCCTTGCCACATTGTTGGTTACTTGGCTTCTCAAGCTTTCTGCATCTTTTGGTAGTAGCAGCAAGGCGAAGAAACCGCAGCTGCTGCCTCCAGGGCCATGGACACTGCCGATAATCGGCAGCCTCCACCACTTCGTGAGCGTGCTCCCGCACCGGAGGATTACAGAGCTGTGTCGCCTGCACGGGCCAGTGATGTTACTGAGGCTAGGCGAGGTACCAACCGTGGTCGTTTCGAGCGCCGAGGCAGCGGCAGTGGTGATGAAGACCAACGACCTGGCGTTCGCGAACCGGCCACGCAGCGTGACGCAGGACATCTACAGCTGCGGTGGGCAGGGCATCGCCCTAGCCCCTTACGGCGAGCAGTGGCGCCAGATGCGCAAGGTGTGCGTGGTGGAGCTCCTCAGTGCCAAGCAGGTGAAGCGGCTGGAGGGAATCAGGGCCGAGGAGGTGAGCAACCTCCTCCAGTCCATCTCCATCACAGCCTCCACTCGAGCTGGCGGCGTCGTCAACCTGAGCGAGAAGGTGTCGGCGCTCAGCAACGACATCGTGTCACGCGGGTTATTCACTGAGAGGTGCGCTCGGCAGGACGAGTACCTCGGTGAGATCGACAAGATGGCCTCCCTGATGAGTGGCTTCAGCCTCGTCGACCTTTTCCCTTCATCGCGGTTGGTGCGGTGGTTGAGCAACGGGGAGCGCAACATGAAAATGTGTTGTGCCAGAATGCAAGGCATCATTTCCGACATCATCGACGGGAGGAAGGCGGCGCAGCACGGCGCCGACTCCGAGGACCTGCTTGACGTGCTGCTCAGGCTGCAGGCAGAGGACTCGCTGCCGTTCCCGCTAACCACAGAGTCTATCGGCGTCCTCATCTTTGTGAGCTACCCATCTCTTGCTACTAACAATATCTTTCGAAATGTATAGTTATAGTAATAGTATTTTATTCTTCATTGCAAAAAATAGTTGTTTCTTAATACCACTGTCTGTATATTAATTGTGCATGAAATTAATACACAACTTTTATTTTCAGGACATATTTACAGCTGCCACTGAGACATCAGCGACCGTTTTGGAGTGGGCTATGTCAGAGATTTTCAATCACCCCAAAGTAATGGCTAAAGTTCAGTCAGAGGTTCGACAAGTGTTAGGTCCAGGCAAAGCTGTCATCGCGAATAACGACCTCCGTGAGCTGCACTATATGCGAATGGTCATCAAGGAAGTCCTTCGGATGCATCCCCCTATCCCCCTACTCGTTCCTAGAGAGACCAGAGAGGATTGTAAAATCATGGGCTATGACATACCTCAAGGTACTACTATCTATGTCAATGCCTTTGCGATTTCTCGAGATCCTAAATATTGGGATAGCCCTGAAGAGTTTAATCCGGAAAGGTTTGAGAACAATAACATGGATTATTATGGGACACACTTCGAATTCACCCCATTTGGAGCAGGTCGACGACAATGTCCTGGGATATTATTTGGCACGTCGACTGTGGAGATTGGATTGACAAATCTTCTCTACCACTTCGACTGGGCGCATCCTAACGGGGCAGGCGAGTCAGTAGACATGTCCGAGAAATTCGGTATCGCCACAGGCAGAAGGCGTAACCTGCAGCTGATAGCTATTCCCTATGTACCATCCAGCAGTACTTAGATATATCTACTCTTTCAGCGTCCGTGTTTTTTTCTTAGGCAACTTTCAGCGTCCATGTTAAATGCATTGTATCTTCCTACCTTTTTTTATTTGAATAGTTTGAATTGCTTATCAGATGTGTCACGTGGTTTGTATCTCTGTACTTTGAAATAAAGAGAAATTCTAATTCTCAATCAGCGTGAGGGAAGAATTCTGTTGGTTTATATATTTCGTATGGCACGTGTATCGTGATATTCAAATGTATTTGTTAGGGTACAATTAGTTTAAAACTGCGACATTTATTTTGGATTGGTGAGAGTATATGTTTATTTGGTATTATACATGGGGTTTTCATCATTTAAAACATGTACACGGTATGTACTGGCCCATGGGGCTCGGTAATACAACAAGCGATTTCGTGAGTTCTCTCTTATCTAATCCATTTATACATAGTATCTACCGTAAGTTCCTGACCAAGCTCCACCACAGTTTACACGCCTCTCGCCCTGGTGAGATTGTTCTCGATGATCTCCAACAGGTGCTGCGTAACCCATAGTTAGAGTTCGTCCATGATACGTGTTGATCGGCTCATCTAAAGAGATTTTTTCCGATCCATCTATCAGGGTTTTACTCTCTTGTTGTCGTTTGATCGGCAACTCCTGTTTGGTTTTCCGATCTATAGACCGGCCTGCACGGTCCACCAGCATTCTTCTTATTCCGTGGCATCTTCATTATTTCCAATTAAATGTGTTTCCACATAGCGCCTCGTGGCCCACGATCACTCAAGCGGCTCCTTCAGCCATGGAGCACCCGCGTCGCAGCATGCGGTGCCCTCACACGACGCAAGATTACATCTACGAAACGATCTTAAGTAAACA